CCGAAATCACCCGGAACACTTCCGGTGTCCGAATATAGTCATCCAATATATCAATCTTTATGTCTCGACTATTTCGAGACTCCTCGTCATGTCCGTGATCACATCCGGGACTCTGAACTAACTTCGGTACATCAAAACCCATAAACTCATAATATAACCGTCATTGAAACCTTAAGCGTGCGGACCCTACGGGTTCGAGAACAATGTAGACATGACCGAGACATGTCTCCGATCAATAACCAATAGCGGAACCTGGATGCTCATATTGGCTCCCACATATTCTACGAAGATCTTTATCGTTCAGACTGCATAACAACATACGTTGTTCCCTTTGTCATCGGTATGTTACTTGCCCGAGATTCGATCGTCGGTATCTTAATACCTAGTTCAATCTCTTTTTCGGCAAGTCTCTTTACTCGTTCCGTAATACATCATCTCACAACTAACTCATTAGTTGCAATGCTTGCAAGGCTTATGTGATGTGCATTACCGAGAGGGCCCAGAGATACCTCTCCGATAATCGGAGTGACAAATCCTAATCTCGAAATACGCCAACTCAACATTTACCTTTGGAGACACCTGTAGAGCTCCTTTATAATCACCCAGTTACGTTGTGACGTTTGGTAGCACACAAAGTGTTCCTCCGGCAAACGGGAGTTGCATAATCTCATAGTTATAGAAACATGTATAAGTCATGAAGAAAGCATTAGCAACACACTAAACGATCGAGTGCTAAGCTAATGGAATGGGTCATGTCAATCACATTATTCTCCTAATAATCTGATCCCGTTAATCAAATGACAACACATGTCTATGGTTAGGAAACATAACCATCTTTGATTAACGAGCTAGTCAAGTAGAGGCATACTAGTGACGTTTAGTTTGTCTATGTATTCACACAAGTATTATGTTTCCGGATAATACAATTCTAGCATGAATAATAAACATTTATCATGATATAAGGAAATAAAATAATAACATTATTATTGCCTCTAGGGCATATTTCCTTCAGGAACGGCGACAAAGGCGCCGGCGCAGGCAGCTCCTCCGCCACGGCGGCGTCGTAGTGCGCCTGCGCCTGCTTCAGGGTGAAGCCGGTATGCACATGTGCGGGATTCCGGTGCGTTGTCCTCGTAGCCCGTCTCCATCGTAGGCCGCCCTCATCGTCGGAGACCTATGGCGAGTTGGCCGGCATGCTGGCCTCGATCTTCCTGCACGATGGCTCTGCCAGGCGGCCGCAAAGGGCGGCCAGCTCATGCTTCGTCCCCGTCGAGAGGCTCTCCCACAGAGCGTTGCCACGGCAGTCATGGCGGATGCGGTGGAAGGGAGGAGGACGTGGAGTGGCTCATGTTGTGGCATGGAGTAGGCGGCCTGTGGCCACCATTAAATAGCGGATTCCGATGAGGCTAGGCATCTGGGAGCGTCAATGCACGGTGCCGGAGTGGGTTTCTCGGTCGACGAGCTTGCTTAATGGCGACATATGGACGGATGGGGCATTGAACGGGTGTGGTAGATATTTGTCCCATCTCATCCAGTAACGCGTATCCGACATTGAACAGGAGCAGACACCGGGGGCGTGTCGTGGGCGGCGCCCTCGGTCGGCGCGCCGCTTCAATGCTGGCGCCAGTGAGAGGTCGCGTCTGCTCTGTAGCCGGCTTCAATGTGGAGCAGCCTCTCTACAACGATATAATGTGGGCAGCTGACACCGGGCGGGAATGCGCGCAGAAGAGGGAGGACGGTTGTGGGTTGGCGAGGGTGGCCAGAAGCGGTCATGGGTGTTGTCCGGACACCCGCAAAGCCCCCCACATTTGTCTCCGGTTTGCCGGATAAAGTGCGTCCGAACAATCTTGCTGATCGATGCAGGACCGCGTTGGATGGAACAACACGTTCAGACCGCCAGGTCTAGACGTATGCGGGCAGTTTGAAAGTCGCCGTTGGAGATGTCGTTACACATAGACGACTTTTAGTTGTGTCACTGTAGAATACAAGTAGGCTTTTGGCAATTTCAATTATGAAAGCTCATTTCTGAATCACAATGTAGAAGAAAAAAACCACGGGAAAATCACAATCTAGAATTGACACATACTAACAAGAATAGACCCACAAACCTAATTGAATATACGGACGCCAATTGAAATCTACCCGTGTTTGTACGATTGAGTATGATGATTTGACCCCTGGTGGGTGTGCCCATGCTTCATGTCCCCGTCTCCACCTTCCCATCGAGAAGTCATTCTAGATCTAGAGAGACTTTTCTCTCAACATTCGTTAGAATGATTGCCAAAGTTATACATGCAATACTGCATTTGGTAAACAATTTAGTCGTTTCAGTATACCAGTCTCAACGGGGTTATTCGTTTCGAATCGGAATGGAACTCTGAAGCGGCTTCCACCCGACGTTTCCCGCAACGATAAAGAAAGAAAACTTGAATCCAAGCAGTACGTACGTGGCACCAGAACTGCCATCAAATATTTGGTGTTGAATTCCGTCGAAAGACGATCGATCTGGTCCAGCACAGGAGACACGAATTGACCTCGCCGTACGTCCGCCCAATGATTGCTGGTCGAGCAGAGAAAGAGAGCCCGATCGGGAGATGGACGAGTGGGAACAGAAGAAAGGCGTGACACAATTCGTTGGCTGGCTCACTTACGCATAATCCTCCTCCTAATTAGCACCGCTAATCACTTTCCTGGTCATAATTAGCACTGTTATTAGGGAAGGATCGGGCCCCTGTTACCCGGGAGCCCGGTGCGGTACGCAGCCGCACTCTGGTAGCCACCCAGCCCGCCAGCTACCTTCCCCATCACTCGCCATCACGCCTTACCTGTTGCGCTCCCGAACCCGGACACGTTCTTTGCGCTCGATCGCACGCGCCGCTCAACTGGCCGCCACGCCGAACGCGTTCCCCCCCGCCGCAGGAGATCGATCGGCCGATGCGAGGCTCCGGCTGCGCTGTAGAGCATGATGATGGGCCGGCCGTTACAAAGGGGAGGAAAAGGCGACGACGACAAGTAGCGTAGCCGCCTACCGTACGTGAGCGCGGCGAGCTGGGCTCTGCCCGTCGGACAGCTGGGGGCGGTGGCGGCCGCGCGTCCCCTTCCGTCTCCCCCTCGGATGTTACCACCACCAGCAGACGGCCAGGAAACGCTCGCGAGCCGTGCGCCGGAAGTCAGCCAGCCAGCCGGGCGGGTCAGTAGTGCGTCCCAGGTTTGGTGTTCGGCATGTCACGGGGCGTTGCCATTAATTGACTGAGGCCAGCTCGCTTCCTTGGCGTGCGAGAAACCGAGAGTGTGTATGGACCGGCTCGACCGCACCGCTGCAGGCCAGCTGCAGCGTACGTACGTGCGCGCGCCGGGCCGCTCGGTCGCTACACGTAGCCGCGCCGCGGGGCAGGCGCATTAGGGTGCAATCATGGACCGGTCGACCCGGCGAGGCGGGCCACGCAACCGACCCCGTCCGTGTG